ATGAACACGTCGGAGCGGTCAAGTCCAGTCTCACGGATAGCGGCCGCGACACTCTCCTCGTTGGCATAGACTGTGCTTTGTAAGCAAAGCCCATTACGCTGCAGCCCGACTGGGGAGCACTCACACTGTGCAGTGTCTATGTGAGAGAAGCCAGTCTCTATGGCGTTCGTTACATAGTCCGTGACATCCTAAGCAGATGGGTCAGGGGCTGCAGAGCCATGAAGTTTGGACGCTCTACCTGTCCCTTCCACTTTGAGCCGGTACCAAACGCGATCTGCGGCATCTAATACATGGTCGTGAAGGTCAATCCGTGGGTGGCTGACGGGTTTGAACGCGCCTTGTTGCCATCGTTCAAAGTGACGTTATGCAAAGGCATCCGCTGGCAAAGCCTTTGCAGAGAGGGCGTGGGACGGCATAGAAGCAAGGAACGGCAGCTCTACATGGCCCGGGGAGTTGACGCACGTCGCCGTAAGAGGGGATCTCGATTCTCGATCAGGAGCTCGCCATGCAATGGAAAGGCGCCCGCACGTTCGAACGCCCTGCGCCCGCTCGCGATCGAATGCGCTGCCCTCGCCTCAAGCTCGCTCCTGTCTCGCCGCGGCCAATGACAGCGCTCTCGTCAATGCCACTCGCCAGGGATCGTCGGCGCTTGTCTAGACGTCAGCGCAGTGGCATCTCGCATCCCCGCTGTCCGCCCTGGCTATCGTGCGCGTCTGGCCGTCCTCGTTCTCTGTCGCTCTCGTGTGCAAGCCCGTCACTCTGCCCGATCGCCTTCAGCCTCTCTCTCATCGCGTGCGCGCAACTGGCTCTAGGCAGCGCCCCTTTCCTCCAGCCTCCTGCGCACCCCCTCGGCTCCACACATCGCCTGCGCTGTTAGACTACGCCGGTCGCCGCTCAGCCTGATCTCGGACAATCCTGTCTGTGCGTACCATTTCTGTCCTGCGCCGTCTCTCATTCCACTGCCAGCCGGCCCCATGCAAGGCATCTTGTACGCCTCAATCGAGTCCGAAGACCCGCAATGTACGCGCCGCACCCCGCCGCCCCGCACGTCTCCAGCACACAGACCCACCGACGCCTGATGCGAGCTCAGCGACATAGCGCTTGCGTGCTTTCGACACCACCTGCCTCTTCTTCCTTCTCAACCTCTGCTCCTGGCTGCTCTCATCGCACTGTGAGCGTCCAGCACAGCGTGCGCGCGCGTCCCTAAGGTGAGTCGTCCCCTCCTCCTCGCTGTTTCCCTCGCCCGCTACGACCGCGCGCAGTCCGCGCCCGCTCGCCCGCGCTGCCAGCTACCAGCCGTGCCCGCAAGCATGTCCCTCCCGTGAGTCGTCCTTGCCGTCACCCTCGCCGCCCACGACCACGCACAGCCTCCCGCGTCTTATAGACCGCATCTGCGAGCTCGTCCGCACGCCAAGAGGCCTTTGTCCACGACGTCGGTATGTGCTCACTTCTTGCCGTCCGCGCGCTCTCATGCAGACGGCTCTCGCGCCGTTGCGCGAAACGGTCGGTCGTGCAGCAGAACGCGCTCGATGGGGCGCGACGCTAGAACCGCGTTGCTGTCTGCAGGGCAACGGTGAGTGCGCGCGCAGCCAGACTGCGGGACGATGGCTCACCGGTCCGTGCGCAGGGCCCGCGGAAGACGTCGCGGTCAGCAGCGCGCCATGCACCATGCGCCGTGCGACGACCCAGGATTCGCCGCGCCCGCGCTCGCGCTCACGCTCCACGTCCCCCGGGGCAGCCGCTGTCGACGGCAAGGCTCGCGAGGACAGCGTCGACGCGGCCGCGCGCACGGCGGAGGACCTATGGACGCCACGCGCGAGCAAGGTGAGTGACGACGCGGGAGCAAGAGACGCAGCACTGACCGTGAGCAATGGCGCATGCGCATGCGAAGGACGACGGGCCCTAGGCAACATCCTACCGGTGTCAAGGAAACGACGACCGGCAGCCAGCCAGAGCGCGCGCACTGCGAGCGCGCCGCCGGACGAGTGGGTTTCAGACGCAGGAGACGGAGGCCGCAGGGAATGGCGAAGACCTCGACCAGCGTCCGTTCCCCCCACGTCCTGTGTGCCCCGTCGGCTGCAAGTGACGCGCACGCGCCGGACGCACAGCCTGATCTCAGGGGATCCTGTCCGTGCACGCCGTCTCTGTCCCGCGCCATCGCACTCCGCTCCCGTCTTCTTGAGGGATACACACACTGCGCGCAAGTACGCCGAGCATTCCTTATTCCCCGGTCAGTCCCTACTCACACGCGTACACCTCCCGCTACCTGTCTGCTGACAATCGCGCCTCTTTCCAGGTCCCTAGCAGCTCACTATGCCCGCCGTCCAACGACCAACCCCACTGCGCTTCTATCCAACCGCCGCCGCTGCCAGTGCTTCAGAGCAGCAACCAGGGCGCGAATCGTCCGCGCCGTCGCACACCGTCGATTGATCCCACACCGCCCGCGCCGTCGAACCACGCCGCACGCACACACAACGCACGCGCCGTCGAATCACGCCGCACGCACAAACGACAGCAGGCTGAGTCGGTGCGTGCTGCTTCTGTCCCGCGCCGTCTCACTCATTCCGCTGCCAGCCGTCCACTTAATCGACGTATCGTGCGCCGCAAA